TTTGTGGTGATGCTGAATAAATAAAAAGAAATATAGATATAATCCAAAATCTTTTATATTGAAATATTCCTAATAATATTGACCATGTTTGAGAAAAATTATTTTTATTTAATTTTCGACGACGTTCACGTACTGTAATTAATGTTGCAAAAAATAATATTATTGGACATATTGATGATATTAAAAAAATATATTTATTTGTATTTATATTTTTATTAAAATATTTTAATGTACTATTATTTAATGTTTGATTAATTTGAAATGATGTTGTACTTGTTGCAAGAATACCAGCTGGTATTTGTGAAATAGTTGATGCAAGTTTAGCTGATGTTTGTTGAATACCTTGTAATATACCGATTAATGCTAATGGACGACCAATTGAAATCATTAGTGCATCAACTAAATATTAAGAATAATTTTTCAAAAACTTTCAGAAATATTCCTCTTTCTTTTTTCTAGTTAATAAGAATTTGATTAAGTCATAGAGATTACTAAAAAAAAAAATATTTCAATATGAAAGAAAATTATTGAAAACATTTTGATCTAGTTTAAAAATATAAAAATAAATTTTCTTATGAGAGATTTAGATACATGCTATTAAATAGTTAAATATGATTGAAAGAATTTTTAATTTATAATAAATGTTCTTTTTAATGATATTTTCGAAGATGTTCTATGAGAAGATAGTTAAAAGGAGTACTACAAAATATCTCAATTATATTTTCATTATTGAAAAAAGAGTGCACTTAACAATGCTTTTATTGATTGCTTTCGTGCTTTGAGCTTATTGCCAAAACATGTCTTTGTTATTTATATGTGAGATTTAAGCTTCTCCTAGCAAAAACATTGCAATTTTTGTCGAAAATATTGATCTTGAGATTTTTATGTGATTCGATAGGCTATTTTCGAAAATAGTATCATTTATTTAAACTCTGACACTTTTTTACGGTTTTCTATAGTAGAAAAATTAATGAATATGTGTGAAATAATTAGAAGTATTGCAAACCTTCGAGAAAATGAAGTTATATTCCGTGCTCATTTAATTATGTAATTATTTTGATTTTATTATGTCAAAAAAAGACGTCTTCTAATATAAATATGCGTTCTCTTTTTTGTCTTTCTTATGCTTCATTACATTATATTAATAACCATTTCTTTCTTCTTCGCATCTTTTATCTATTTAATTAGCTGATGTGGTTTTGATTGAGTACGACTTATTATCAATGACTGACATATAATACACTCAATCACACCTCATGTACTTCTTGATTTCAGATTGAAATTTTTCGACACTATAAAAGTACGTGTAAATATTCGTTTGATACGGCATAACTGACGATTAATCTATTTCTTCTATCGTTTGATTAAATTGAAATATTGATTCTCAATTACAAATTTTTATTTGATAGTTTTCTCAAAACGAGATTTCTCAGCTATTTTACATGCTTGGAGTTTCAGATATTATTTTTTAACATGAAGAGAAAATTATGATCATTCTATTTTTTTCAAACTTTTTGTAAAACAAAAAGCGAAAGTCAAAACTTGATAAAGAAGAATTTGAAAAATTGAGTTCATTGAAGTTATATCGATAAGTGTTGACGACAACTTGAGATCTGTATCATTAGATTTCTGGAAGAAATCTACGACATATGGAGATATAATTTTTGATCCTTTACAGAAGAATAACTCAATATTTCGAGCTGAAATTTTCAGTTAGATTGACTGTTAAAAGCAAGCATATAAGAAAAAGTATTCTCGATATCTTCAAAAACAATAAAAATGATCATGAATTTTTCAAAAAAATCATAATTATCTAAATCTAATCAATTCTTTTGTTAACAATATAAAGATCAACTGATATTCAAAGTACTCTGATCATATCAAAAACTATATTATTTAAATTTATTAATTTTTCTATTTAAAATCATCTTTCATTGATTAATGTCAAAATATAAGATTAAATTTAAAACTTTAAAGAGTAAGTAAATATGAAAAAAAAACAAAAAATTTGCATATCATTGTTTACACATATGACATAGCAAAATATTAAAGATCAATATTGATGTATAACTACCTTGATCAAGTCAATGTTAAAAAAACGGGTACATTGGCATTCACGTACATATACGTATATCTTTCTAAAGCTTTGTCTGAAATTGTAGAAATTCTATTTTTATACTACCAAAAAAAAGCTAACACAAACTAAGTATAATCTTCTGATCGAAAATGATGGTTTCTATGCAAAATACACATCAACCAAGAAAAATGAAATAATTATTTTTTCTTTTTTTGCGTCATATTCATAAATGAAAGAAGTATTCGGATTTATATTGTTTGACTCTTTTAATCTTTAATTTATCAATGTTTATACTAATTATTTATTTTTACTTTAAATATATTTTTTGTACATGTCGTAATAATATTCATTCTATGGTATGACTAAAAATATATCAGAAAAGATATAAAAAACATGAATGCATTGAGTCTATTTGATAATATATTGTCCTCATTGACCGGATAGATATATTTATCAAGACACATTCATCATTATTACTATAAATTTCCCCACAATAAATAAAGACATACAAACAAAACGTGCCTTTTTTTTTTTTTAGAATCCATTCTTATGCATAATAATTAGTTTGTTGTCACTCAATTATTTGATTTGTAGTTTACTTAATCAATTCATCCTTATTTTTTTTATAATTATCTATTTCTTAGACAGACAATAAATATAAATATAGGTTTTTCTTACTTAAAACATCATTAAATGCAAGTGAAAATGCTGCTAAAACACAGAAAGTTAATAAATAATTGTATTCTGTTGGAACAAAATAAAGAGCAATCCATGCACATAAATTAAGTGCCGTTGTCATTAGAAGATATATAAGTCGATGATAACCACATATTGGTACAAAATCACTCAGAATTCCATAGAGCGGTTTTATAGACCAACTGAAAAAACATATAAATCAAAGAGAATTTTTTTTGTTCTTTTATAAATCGTATACTTACGTTACGGTACAGGTAAAGAAAAAAGTACCCATTTGTGATGGTGAAAGATGAAGTTTATCTTTTAAGATAGTTTGTAATGGTAAATTAACAAATCCAGATGCAATATCTGTTATTCCTTGAATAAAATAAGCCAATGCAAAATAAATAGCACTACATAAAAGTGTACGAGTGCACAGAATTTGCATACATTTATTTGTTCCATAATCTTTTTTACTATCATTTGTTGATGGTGTTACTTCATCAAACGATTTTGATGGTTCTACGGATATGTTGATAGATTCCATTGTTTTTGTTTTTTTTGATATTATAATCTAAAATGTTGACAATAAATTTATTCAAATAAAGAAAGAAATATGAATATTAAGTATGATTTAATGATTTGAGATGTAACCAAAAGAATAAGTTTGACGTTCTCTAATCTACATTATGATTTTATTAGAAGGAGTAGTCTTTTTTTTTTTTTTTGTTCTTTCGATTTATGAAATAAGAACGTGAACAGATGAAGAAAAAAGAAATAGTTTTTATGACGCCACATTACATACTCACGTAGAATAATAAAATTTTTTATTTGTTTTTTTCTTTTCTCGCCTCTGTGATTATCGAATCGTAACCAATTTAATGACAACTGTCGGCTGTTACATACTCTTAGAGTATTCTGTCAATGCCGTGATTGACATCAATGAAGAAAAAAGAAAGAACAAAACGCATCTAAATATGACACTTGTTTATTTTAAGAAGACATATAACCATGGTATATACGTAACGAAACCTATGCATTGTTCTTATATATAAAATCCTTTACCATTATTATCATCTGCACATTGAGTATATTCAAAAAATCGATCATGCTTATCTTACTGAAACGACTTACTTGTATTATTAATGTCAAATAAATGAGGACAACAACGCTCGAATTAACCGACTGTTTGATAAGTAAAATTAACTATAGAATAGACACAAAAGATGTGACTATTCTTGAGTAAATGAATGAGAGAACAAAAGCTAAACACATTGAGAAAACCTCAATACAACTATAGAGTGCATCGATCGTCTGTTCTAATAAAATGAATGCAAAAATCACATTCAAGTGACTGATAACGAACGCAAAAAAAAAAACTAATTATAAAAGAAGAAGAAAAAAATGGAAATAACATACACAAACATATGTGAACCTAGGAACGTCTCGACCTCATCAAGATTGTCAGGAGGTCGAACGGTTTTTTTTTTGAGAATAGATGAGTACAACAAAAAAAAGAAATTCTCAAGATTGAAAGAATAATCCCCTGCACACACACATAATAGTTTTCTAAAGCGTCATCTATGTTTATAGCTATCATTTTTGTGTTAGTTCTACATCTGAGTTCAATCTGATGCTTTTTTATCATAACGCGGTACACTGAAAGGTCATATGTTTTTGTTCTTTCCGTGCATTTCTTTTTTTTTTGCGTTTACTCAAGATTGAAGTATTTTTATTGGCTATAGAAATGCACGTTCGCATGATTCGTTTTTCTATATTAGGATACATTGGAAAGATGATTTTATAACTTGATTATGTAAAAAAAAAAAACAGAAAAAACAAATATTATCTATGGTATTTTGTATATAATATATTGGTATGTGAATAATAAGTTTATCATTGAAGACATATGTCTGTTTAAGTTATTTTAATAATAAAAATAAAATATTTTACATATGACCTCAAAGAACATGTATTGTATAATCAGTAGAACTAAATCTGTTATGTTATATGACGACTCGGTTTTTTGTTTCTTTTCTCTTTTTGAAACAAGAAAAAGAAGAAAAAAAATATTTTTTTTGTTGATTATTATCTTTTTTATTTTTATGAAAGAATTTTACAAAGAAGCAAAACCTTAGAAAATCTCATCCTAGATAATATCTCGTTATAATGGTCGTTCTTTATTTTTTTACATGAATTAAATATGAACTTTTTTTTTTTTTTGTTAAAAAGAAAAAAAAAAATTTTTTTATTCAACTTCATCAAATATTTGTTCATCATGTGTCGTAGGACGTATTCGCCGACGTAATCGTTGTCCTCGTCGTCGTGCTATAATGAATGAATCTTGTTGTTGTATATATGATGATGTTGATATTGATGGTGGTGGTGGTGGTGGTGATGATCTTGTTGGTGATAAAAGTTGATGTGGATATTGTTTTTTTGTTCCATTTCCATCAAGAATTTGTGTAAGACAACTTATATAATGAATAGCAAGACGAAGTGTAGCAATTTTTGATAAACGTTGATGATCATGTAAATTAGCTTTTGGTACTACACGACGTAATTCATCAAATGCTTCATTTAATGCATGCATTCGATTTCGTTCACGTATTGTTGGTGGTGGTATTGATGATGATGATGATGATGGTATTGAAGAATTTCTTATTGTTGTAGATGATTGTATAAAAGGCCATGTATCAATATTTTCATCCATATTATTATTGTAATTTTAAAGAATTTATGATTCTAGAGAAAGAATTTCTTTTCTTCTTCTTTTTCTCGGAAGTCTATCTGATTGGATATCTAATTGATAGATAACAATAATGTCGATAAACAGATATAAAAATGTATAAAGAATCATCGATTGCTAATTGTATGTTAGATGAAGAAAAGAAAATTAAAGAAAAAAAAAAACTAATGTTTATCTTCGAATAATCAATATGAATGATCTGGTCAGTGAGGCGACATACATATACTCGATTATGATGTATTATAGAAAAGCAAAAAAAAAAGGAATAATACTTATTTTTCTGCTTCATTCAATATGACGAATGATAATTAATGAATAGATTTGACTTAGATAACATATTGAATTTGCTTCTTTTTTTTTTTTATAGAAATATATGATTAGAAGAGATTCTATTAATAGAAATACATTGTATTGTAAGTAAATATCATATGAGATTGACTCATCATGATTAGTTTATTGAAAAATATTTCATTTGATTTATATTTTTGAATTTTGTTCATAAGTAATAGAGAAATAAGTTTAAAATGATATAAGTCTATGTTGTGATAGAAAAGTTTTATACAATATCAATAAAAAATCATTTGGATTTTATTATATTGGTATAGAAGTTCTGTATGTTTGGATCAGTAGAATTATATCACCAATAAAAAAAAAAAAATACATTTTAAGGCAAATAATTATATATTATGATAGCACTCGGAATTCTCTATCATCCTGTGTATATGAGTCTTGACTTATATTTATTTGCTGAAAAATATTTTAAGTACAGTGAAGATACTCTCACCCTCAGATTTCCACGAACTTCACTTTTTCTGTTCCTTTCTCATAAGTCAAGACTTAAATACACAGGATGTTAGAGAATTCTGAGCACTATCAGAATATATTTATGTGCTAATTACGGATCTGCAAAATCGCTTTTTTAAGTCCCGGTCTTTGACAATGGCTTCATTTCTAAAATCGCGCAACTTTTTTTACGATCTGTGTACTTATCAGATTCTGATAAGACTTAAATAAAGGAATGAACGAATTAAATCTATGTATATAGTGTTTTGTTAATTGTTTTATATGTATTCAAAAACCTGTGCAATTTGGAAAATTCGGATTCTTGCAAACAGATTCGTAATCAGTAAAGACTTTTATAGAAATAGCAAATAAAAATATCTGATTTACAGATCTTTAATCATGTGAAAATATAATGCATAAAAAACTTACCGGGACCAGTATGAAAAATTTTTAGTTCCAATCTCGGTCCTATAAAAAGTCAAATTTTAGTGCTGGGACTGGGACCACTTTGCAATTCCCTAGTGCTAAGACAATATATTCTTGTTCTTGCCATTTTTCTTTTAATGAATTATAAATATTTTTTTTTTTTTGTAGGCTAAATGTCGACTACTTTTACATCAAAATCTTTCGGATTCAATTCAATTGATAATAAATATGTTCAACAACACTTAAAACCATCTTTATCCTTCGTTTATGAACATAATCATCATAATCTTATGAATTCTAATTATTCATTGATAAAACTTAAAAAATTAATATTCCGCCGTTTCAGCTGTTATTAGACGTACAAGGACACCTTAGTGAGACTAACAAAAGTGTATAAGAATTCGTCCATATGAATGTTTATAGCTGAGTTATGATTATTTTATTGAATTTTCAATCCAACTTAAGGTGTATACCACAGAAAACAGATTGTCAAAGTGAAATTTTGCTTATAATTAGATCGAATAACTCGTAAAATATTTAGAAAGTTTTAGTCAAAAAGAATATTCCTTTATAGAGATATTCAATTTCCAAAAATGCATGATTTGTCGCAATTATAATAAAACTTCATGTTGGAATTTTTTTTCGATAAATATTTAAAATATGGATTCAAAAGTTCAGAAAAAGCGATCCTAACTCATCTTCGAAAACCTATGAAGACGAACCTTTTTAGAATTTTACAAATCTCTCACCATAAATTTCTAGTAGAACTAATATAAATTCAAACCTTGGGTTATGTAGGAGCGATAATCTGCCAAAAGTAAACATTTATGACACCATATATATATATATTTTCTTTTTGTCATCTGTTATTAATATAATTTATAATTTGTTCTTTTTTTTTTCTTTTTTTTAAAGATTATTTATTAATTCATTTCAATATTCTATCAAATACATGCATAAATACATATTTAGTTTCATTATTGATTTAAAACAGAATTAAGTAATGGTATATCAATAACAAGTACACCATCTTCCATAACTTGTGATGTAACATTATATTTATCAATACCATCTGGTAAACGAATACTTTGACTAAATTGTTTTATTTGATTTTTTTTTGTATATAATGGAAATTTTTTTTTTCCTTCAACTAATAAATTATAATCAAGTAAACGTACATTTAATTCATCTGGATCATATTCACGTGTATCAACTTTTAATATTAATTTTTTTCCATTTGGTGTAAATGTTGGATGAAAATTTGATTGTAAAAAATCTGCTATATTAAAGTTAGAAGAATTTTGAGAATATTGACGATATTTAATATTACCAAGACTACCTGTTCGTTTTGGTACTGTTAATGGTGGTGGTCGTGTTATTTGATGATTTGTTTTATTGACATCAGCATTTGATATTGAATGATTATATTCATTTTTAGTTTGTCGTAATGATTGATTATCAATTGTTTGTAATAATGCTTCATGTGAACGTCTTATAGCATCATTATCTCTTAACATAGGTATATCAATTGTTAATATACCTGTATGACGTATAACAGAACGTATTTTATCAATATCAGCACCTATTGGTAAATGAAATGTTTTAACTAATTCTTTACGAAAAAAATTGTCTGCTGCAAATTGATCAAGATGTAATGCATGTACAAGTAATGTATTATCACGTCGAAGTTTAACAGATATTTCACCTCGAGAAAATTCTGAAACATTTACTTCAATACGTGTTGTTTCAGATGATGATGATGATGATGGTGGTGATGGTGATGATGATAATTTTTGCATTTTTATTTTTTTTAAATAAAAAATTTTTTCCCTATGAACAAAAGTATTGCAAAAAATTATATTTCATATGTAAAAATAAATGAAGAAAATTATCTTTTCTAGAAAAAAAAAAAGTTTTCCGAACAATCATCATCTATTAAAATAGAAAAACAAAAATGTAAAGCTCAATGAGTATATAAATTCTTCTACGTCATAATATTAAAGTAGACTAAATCTTCCTGACAGTTATTAGAAGATTCAAATGTACAAAATAGTTTTAATTCCAAATCTAAGAATAACTCACTAATCTAAATGTTCTTTTGGAATGTCCTATGATTAGAAAGATTGAAGAGGACTGAATCGCCCTACTGAGAAATTAAAATTTACAACCGTTTGGTAGTAACGAGCATTGATGAATTAAAACGAAGAAGAAAATCATTTAGTTTTTTCAAGAAAAAATTTCCGAGGTTGGAAGTAGAATGTCACTTTAACTAATCCTGCTCAGAACGTCTCCAAATGTTCTTTTTCTCTTTTTAAAATATTTAATTTCTCTTTAGTTGTATAATGACGAAAGTTTTATATACGGTGTTCTAATCATGAGCTGTATTATAACTATGTAGTAATACACCTTGCGATTTAAAATCATGCACGACATCGAACAAACACTCGTTATTTATAAATACAAGAAGCAAAAAAAAAAAATCCGATGATTGCATGATCGATAATGAACACATAAGAAAAAAATTATTTCAAATATTTATTTTCAGCATAGAAATAATGTTTCCCGAAAAATTTCTAATGGATATTTTGATTGATTTTATTGTTTCTATGAATAATAAAGAATAATTTCTACAGACAAATATATTCATTCTATTATTTCATATTGTAAGAATATCTATTTTTTAAAACATATCTTTATAATAATAACAGAAAAAAAAAAGAAAATAACATTAGATTTTCTATAGTTTCCGGCAGTTTTCGAAGGCAATTATCGGGGAAAAAAAAATAGACGGAAACCTGATAATACTATTCTTTGAGAACCTGATAGAGTACAAAATAATATAAGTTCTCAAGCATTCAATGACACGATATCGACACAGTCGAAATAAAGTAAGACATAAGACAAAAGAAAATTATTTTTATACTAATAGATTATATACAATGTATACACAAATCATGAAGGATCTTTTTTTTTTCTTGGAGGCTATGATATTGAAATCTACTTATATATAATGCATAACATATGATCTAATCAGGTTTTTTTTTTTGTTTCTTTTTTTTTGATATTTGCATAACTGTCAAATAACGGACAATATAAATCCAAGGATTATTTATATTAAACATTAAAAAAAAAAATGAGACTATGATAGTATAACTTTCAGTGTTCTATGTTATGTAAAACACGTATGAATTTGTTTTACATGCTGTAGTTTATCCTTATAGAGTAATCTTACATATCCAATCATATGAATTGCGTGACTCTCGAGACGAATGCTAGAAGATCATTAATATTACTCTATATATATTTTTTTTCTCCGGTAACAAATTTTACTCCATTTACTGATTTTTCTCTCCCTGTCTTCCTCCTCCCTCTCGTTTTTCTATCATTAAGTTGGCAATCTGACTCGATTGTTATTTTTTTTTTCTCTGTATATGCTAACATGTTCGAGGCAATTAATAATATTCCGAACGACAAGAAAATGTCCTAGATAGCGCATCTTTATCATCAAGAATATAAATATGAATGAATTCAAGGTCTTGATGAAATGTTGATAGGAAAATCTTACTTAATGTTTAAGTTACCTAGTAAAGAAAAAAATAATAATGACGACCTTATTTTTTTTGGTTAGAATAATATGAATATGTATTGAAAGTAAATATTGATTAGTTCATGTCATAGAGCATTACAAAAAGAAATGATGAAGAAGTAAATATGAATTTAATTTTCTTTGTTCTTCACTATTGATTTTTTTTTTCAATGCGATAAAGTAAAATAGAGATATTTGAAGAGTTAGTAAATTATAATTATCTATGGATGTGTAGTTTTCTTTTCTTTTTTGTTAATATATTTTGTATTATTTAGAATTCTCATCAAAAAAGAAATCGTCGATTATCTTTGTTTGGTATGATGTCGTTTCTTTCTTCTTTTTCGCTATTGTTTTGTTATTCTTTTATGATTATGAATAGGATGATAATTATTTTCTTTTGTTAGTACCTTTTGAAATATAAGATTTTATAAGAAGAGAATAAAAAATGATATGAATAGAATTATTTATCAACATACCTAGATGATTAATGAAATAATTGTTTATGACACAATCACTTTATGTTAAATACTATTGATTTCGTTGTATTCTTTAAGTATTATTAATAGAAAATTAGTTGATAAGTTACTTTATGGTCGTTGTTTTCGTCAATAAATCACTAATGAGTATCGACACCTCTTAACTGTCTAATGGGTACACAAGAGAGTAGCATATTTCATGGAGAGAAGATATAATGTACGTGTGCGAGGGTTTTTTCTCTCTCTTGCTCTTCTCTTTCTAATAGAGAGAATAAAACAAGAAGAAAAAAAAAAAGACTAAGATCGTTGTAGCATTACTGCCGACTGTCAAAAACCCGGCTCTGATGAGCTGAAAAAAAAACGGCGAAGAAAAGAAAAGGCAAAAATAATAGCTTTACTTAGTCGAGAAGAAATTATTTATTTGGACGATCCTCGTTTCTTCATTGTCCCATAGTACGAGTAGTGATAAACATTTTTTTTTTCAAGAAGTTCTTGTCACATACTTATTTCAAGCCTACACATATATATATATAATCATGTGTACCTTGTAATTCTATAAATGTCATTAAATAGAGACATTCATTTGGTTTCAAACCCACCATACAATACATTAATATTTGAAGAAGTGCATACATACATCTTTAATTTCTTGTTTAGTTAAATAAAAGCAAACATTATGTTAAAATATGTATAATTAGAATCAATATTTATTTCTTGAATAAAAAGAAAGATAATGAAGAACAGATGTTTATTGATGGAATCTTATTGTTGAGTTGTTGACGCAAAAAGGAAAATAATTTTTGACAAGATAGAAACGATAAAAGGATTAATATTCAGCAATGTATGTCTATTTCTTCTTCTTTTTTTTAATATAATTAAGTAATGATTATTAGAAATGTTTTCTAATAAGATTTTCTTGTTAATTTTCTTTCATTAATATTGTTTATATTGAATTAAAAATGTTAATATACTGTCATATTGTGATGAGTGGAACAAACAAAAAAAAAAAGTCTAATTTGATTTAATAAAAACAAAAAGAAAGAAAATACTTTCGTCTTTTTTTTTTTATTTTGCTTTTTCAAATAAGTAAATCTTATTTTGATGTTCTCTTTAGCAAACGAAATTATCATAAGAGAATTTCTGAATATTGTTCATTTATTTTTATCTTTAATCAATGATAATGATTTCATTTGACATAAAAGAATTTAAATACAAATAAATGTAATTCACAAAGTTAATCATCTTTGCTTCAGTAATAATCAATCAAAAAAAAAAATAGAAAATTCAAGGAGGCGTGAAGTAATATAAAATAAAAATCAATATAAAATACTCAAACTTTAATGCATGAATAAAATATTATTTATTGATATTTCTTTAATTATTGGATATAATACAATTATATTCAAGTTATTATATAGCTTTTTTTTTTTACATCGAGATACACAATAGATAAAAATGATCGTCATGAACAATGGACAAAATGAACTGAAAAAACGACAAATGACATAGATATTTATATAATTCTTTTTTTTTTTTGCAGTTTTGACTGTGATGCCTTGTGCCATGTATATTTATCTATCAATCATGACACCCACTGACATTCATCTACAGCATGCCAGACTAATTACAATTCAGCTATGATATGTGAAAGAATAAAATGTAAATTTTCTTGACATTGCAGATGTGTAATGAAAATGATATATATATAATTCGTCATTCATTAAAATTAATCATAATTGTATTTTAATATCGAATAAAAAATTTTTAGTAGATTATTTAATTTCATATTCGAAAATTTTTTTCTTCAATAACAAAAAAAAAATCAGTACAAATTTTAATTACATTCAAATCTTATAAAATCTATAAATTTTTGTTTTTTTTTTTTTGTTCCCTTTATTTTCAAGAGTAGATCAAACAAAGTATTTTGAAAGTTCTTATTATTTTTATTCGAGAAAAAACAAAAATTGACATTTTTTAATTATGTTATGCATTATAGAACTTGTCAACTTCATCATAAGAATTAATAAAACATTATTTCTAATAAGTCTATAACATAACATATTCTTTAAATTAAAATAAAAATAAATAAATATATTGAGTACATATCCTAATAGATGTTTAACAAACTTTTATTAATAAATATCTCATGAATATTTCTATTTATTATTCTAATAAGATAATATCTAAGAAAGAAAATAAGGATTTTTTTTTTTGTATAAATAATACACACATATTTTTTTATTAAATATAGAATAAACAAAATTATTTATCTGACATGTTTTTTTTTTTTCTATAAATTTTATTATCAAAATTTATTAATAGTTTGTGTTCGTAAACGTAAATCTAACGGTTGATCATCATCAGTTATATTTGTTATTTTTTCTATTGGCTATAGAGAAAAATCAAATATATAAATATAAATATTAATAATTTTTTTGTTTTCTTACTATTTCAATAATATCTGTCGTTGTTGTTGGTGTAATAACTGTAGTCGTTATAGTAGATACTTGTGTAGCCGATGGTGTTCGTTTTTTAATTGCTTTTCCTAACAAAAGAAATTATATATTTTGTTGAGTATATAATAAACAAGATAAGAAGTTTATATTTATACCTCGTTTACGTGTAATTACAGGTGAAAAAGAAGTTCGTTTTCGTGGACATAATAACTAAAACAAAATTTTTTGTATTAGAATAAAATATTAAAAACAAAAAAAAAGTCAAAATTTACTGATATATTTTTTGATAAATCATCTTTATGAATACCATTTTCAGCTAATTTTTTTTGTATTTGTTCATTAATTGTTTTTGATGATTGTCGTTGACGTTTTAACATTTTTTTAACTTGTACTATAAAAATAATAATTATAAAATAAAATAAAATAATAATAAATAAAAAGTATTTTTAATATACTATAATATTCATTGAGAGGTATTAAACCACAATTATGAAGAAAATTTTTAATCTAATAAATATATAAAACAAAATTTAAAATATATATAGAAAATTTTCTATTTACTTCTTCTGGATCACTTGCAGGAATAAATTCATTATCCATTTATTGAAAACAAAAAAAAAAAAGAATCTAGAATAAATTCAATTAGATTTTTATAAAATACAAATAAAAACTTCTTTTCTTTTTTAATTATGAATGATATATTTCGATACATTCGTCCAAAAATAATGTATTTGACATATGTTTAAGTTTTTATTACATGATTAAATTTCTAACTGTTATTACTAACTAGTGAAAATTTATTTAAAAAAGAATAATATTCGATCGATATGCGATTCTGTATTCTTCCGAAATAGAATTCATCTAAGAAGAAAATGTCCGATTAACACGACATACATAAGTATTAGTCTCATGAGAAAGTATTCCCAACTGTCGAACATCATTTTTGTTGATAAATAACTCTCTACAAGATTAAGAAAAAGTTCAAGTATTAACTCTTGCTTATACCGAAATCTGATGTGATAGATTATCTTATTATTCTTATAAACTTTGAGATCAATCAAATAATATTTTCGGAATTCAACAGAAAAAAAAAACAACTCAACTTCAATATCTATTCTGCTTAAACTAAAAATCACAAATTCATAGAACCTTTTCGTTGAATAAACTATTCTTTTCTTAAGAGTACAAAAAAAACAAGGTCAAAGTAATGATTTTTCTAAATAGACGACATCATACAACAATTCCAAGATCATCGACAAAAAATTATAAAACTCAAAACGATATTTGTTAATTAACAATTTGTTTTTTTTTAATCTAAAATAAATTCATAATATTGAATTTTTATTATTTAAAGAATAATTATCAATAAATTATATATTTAATTAAATAAAATAAAATAAATCACACACAAAACGGAATTAATAGCATTGAGATAAAGCTCATAAAAATAAATAAAAAAAAACAAAAAGAACAAATGTTATTATCACTATTCTATTGTTTAGCATTGTTTTCACAAAACAGATATAAGAAGAAAAATATTCACACTAATAATCGCTTCTTTTAATTTCCTTTTCAAGATCTATTATCAATGGGAAGAATATATGACTAGATATAGCATAGATATTGATTATTCAATAAGATCTCTATTATTCATAAAACGTCGAACAGATGTATTTATTGGAAGATTAAAATCGATTGAAGTTAAACGATCAAGTGAATGAAGAGCATCATTAAAACCTTTATATAATAAAATATTTATTTATTTAAAAATCTCTAAGATAAATAGAAATAATTCTATATATATATACCTGTTTGTCTTGTATAACTCCATGTTTGATAATAATTTTCTACTAATACTACTGTTTGAAGAATCAAACGTAGATATAAAACCAATTTTTTTTCACTAGAAATAAAATATTCATTTAAATTATTGTATTACTTGTAATATCAAAGGTTTTTTTTTCATAGAACTCATTAAGTTAATCGGAACTAGAACTATCGTATAATAAAAAAAATCTACCTCATTTTTGTCAATTCTCACCTACTGTTAATGCATGTCAATGATGAAAGATAATAATCTCAATAGACTACAATCAGATTAAGAAAACGAGGTCTTACAAGCATATCTACTATAATATATGAGAAGAAAGTAACAATACAAAAGTATCTGTAACAAAAGACAGACATTCATCCAGGTCTTTGAGGAAGGAAATAGGCATTATTATAACGTTTGTTGACGATGGATGTTCTCTCTTTTGTATTTCTATATACAATACTCGTTGTAGATTGTGTTTCATAAAAAGAATATGGAATAACAGTATAACTCATTAAGAAATCTTTCATAAAATGTAACACTTCGAATTGCTACTTATCGTTTGAATTCATATTATGTCTACAAGAACATCTTAGCATTGTTATATGCTTAAAACTGGTTCGAAAATTCAGTAAAATAATCAGAACTAGACTTCAAAGAATTCTAAAGATAAATTCATATAGGCTTCTGCTAGTTTCATTTAGATATTATTGAATATTTGTTATCCGATAGTTTACAACCAAAAAGTTATTGATTTCTCTTAGCATTATGAAAGACGAAGTACAATTCTTCTATTGGACGATTAACTATACTTAATTTCGATCAAAAACAAGTAAATTATACCATTCTATCTCTATTTTCAAGTTCCTACTATTTGCTAGAAACTATAAATTTTATATTATGTATTTGTTCTATAATCCTTCAAGTTTGTTCTTTTTAAATACATAAACATACTTTAATGCATAACATATAAATGATTTAAAACAACAATCCATTTGTTGTTTTTTATGATTTTGATGTAATTTCATAATTGTATCAATAGCATTTAATAGACACTAAAAAAAAAAGAAAAATAATCAATATTAAATATTATTATTTGTAGTTTTTTTGTTAAATAATACTTCTGTAAGTGTAATTGGTTTTCCACCAACAATATCTAATGAAAATGATTGTGAAAGTTTATGAGCTGGACTATTAGAAAATTCATATCCACTCTTCAAAGAAATCAAAAAAAAACTAAATGTATTTAAATAACTTCAAATTCTTTTACTTTCATATCATAATATTTTAACATTAATTTCCAAATATGCATTGTCTCCTTTTTTGTCGAATAGTTATTCATAGATGATAGTGGAAAACATGACCAAACAGATAAATTTGTAGAAGAACTAGTCTAGATTTAATAATAGATTTATCAAAAAAATTTTAATATCTTTTTTTTTTGTTTAGTTATACTTTATAAAGACCATGTTCAAGTAATGCACGAAGTGCAGGAGCAAGATCTTGTCGTATAGATAAAATAATTGTATCTAAATGATCATATTCCTAAATAAAATCAAATAGATATGAAAGAAATTTTTTTGGATTTTTACTTTATATTCATCAGTATCAATTGTTATATTATTATCATTATTATTTAAATATATTGATAATGTTTTATTTAATCGTACTTTATGAAGAACTTTTTCAATAGCAATATCAAGATCAACTCGAAGATTACTTTAACAAAAAAAAAAAAACTGAAATGAATAAATAAAAATTTTCTTTATATTAAATTTACTCAAAATATTCCTGTGAAATAGAATCTTCAATTATAATTCTAGTTGATTGATGAGTTGTTCTTTTCATTGATCTCGTTCCACATGTTAAGAAAAAAATTGTGTAAAGTTGAGTTAATATAAAAAATTTTTTTATCGATTGATATATATTTAATGAATTATGTTCAAATTGAAAACAAGATAAAAATGTATTTGTGGATTGTGATTGACTTGTTGTTGTTGTTGTCTTAAAAATAGATAAATGATGATAAAAAGTAAAAAAAAGGTTTTGACATACAGGTTTTGATTTAGTTTTTGAATTTGATGAAGGCACAGATGCAATGGTAGTGTCTGTTTTTGACTTAGTCGAGTCGGCTAAAATTAAGGTTTATTAAAAAAGATTCGAAGAAAAATTAATATTACCTTTGAGAAATTCAATGAATTTTTCCAGATCATTTATTTCTGTACGCATTTGATTTATTAATTTTTCTTTTAATTTGACTGGATTAGTTAACTAGGAAAAATAAATAATGACAAATGTCATATACTGATAGTTTATTCATATCAAAGATAAAGCATTAATGTTTGAAGTATTATAGTTTTCGACAATAGTAATTGATTAAAATATTTCACAAAACGATAATTTATATGATATTATGAAATCAATTATTCAAAAAACAAAAAGAAACAGCATTCACCACAAGGTGCAACATGAAAAATTTATTTTAATTATGCACTTTTCTTTTTTCAAAATAAACAAAATTCTCTAAGATCAATGTTCAATACTACGAACGATACCATCTTTTGGCAAGCGACGAATTTCTTGTTTTCTTATTTCATCAGTTAATAAGTTATAGTTTTCAATTTATTTTTGTAGGCGATGTCAGCGATTCCTAACTTATATACGATGTGATATTATCTTGTTTCATGTGATAATGTTTCATCAGATTTAATTACAATGGAAAACGTTAAATCATTTTTCAATGATTTTAGAAAATTAGTTTCATAGAACTTCACTTATTTTGAAGGGGTTCCAGAATTTCGCCAATTGGCGAAAGTATATTGAACTTTCAGCAATTTCATTGTAAATTAGACGTACACTAAAAAAATTTTTCTCACCTACACCGATGAGTGTAAAACTATGATATATTGGATTGGCCAGTCTGGCTGGATGTCTCAATCCCGTTTTTAATCAATCCATCTCTATAATATGTCAGAAATATCTGATTTTTTTGCTAGTTATAGTGCTCATATAATGCTGATGATCCGCCAAAGAGAAACAATTTATCTCTTGTTTGAAACGAAATCGATAAAGCATCTTTCAAAGCCTTTTGATATTTACCAACAGATAATTCTAAAGACACTTAATGATTGTGATTTGAACCAAGACATAAACGTCCTAGCCTTGGCAGATCATTAGCATTATGCAAGTACTATTACTATTATAAAAATTAGATTTTTCTAATATACTACAGAGACTGAATGACGGAAAAAGGCATAGGAACATCCGGCCAGACTGACCAACCCCATATATATTCTAATAACAGTAACTTCAGCGCTGACATATATGCTTTATTAATATTGTTCCGTGACCACTGAGATAGTCCACCTCACTTTCGCCAATATACCCTCAGGGCTTTCGCCATTGGCGAATATCTTATTGGCGAACATCCCGCCACCCATTTTGAAAAGATAAGATACAAAAAAAATCAGATAAACTTTATTTTGTAAATTGTAGAAATTTTTACGCTACATCTTGTAACATATGTTTTTTTTTTTAATAAAACGTATTTAGAAAATTAAAATATGCAATATAAAAATTGTAATCATTTATTATAAGTCACCCACTACTTCCATAAGGAAATTCTCTCTTCTGTTTCATTAACAACAACATTGATGAATGAAGAATATGTTTCAATTATTGTATGTTATTTGATTTAATCTGTTACTTATTCTTAGATCTCTACGACATTGTAAAAAGACTAATCATGACCATAACATCGAGCTTCTTTCTAGCAAGGTCATAAACTTTACTTTCAACACTAAAATAAGAGCTCATATTGTCTTCGAAGATTGAAGATGTTTACTCGTTAGTATGAATCCGCAAAATTACCTTTACTGTAGTCTTCATTCTAATTAAAAACTTTTTTTGTATAAGAAAATGTGTCGTAGTCTATCGACTAAGTTTCATTCATCATTTTGTTTTACACCGACATATGCATACATAATCAACTCGGTTGAACGTACTGAACATTTGTATTTTCATACATATTCTACTCAAGATCATTATTTGAAAACTTATTTCAAATGAACTGAAACAGTAATTTGTTCAATTATGCAGAAAAAAATGACAAACTTGTCGAAAGATAGTTTGAATACATAAAGAAATCTAGATGAATGATTTGGAATCATTATTATCTCAACAGTCAATTTGAATGTATTGAAATTTAAGGTTTGCATGACATAGGACGATATTAATAATACAACTATCAAAATCATCTTACTTGTTAGATGATCACTCAACTTAAACTTATTCACATATGTTTTCAAAAGATTCTTTTTTTGTTTTTAATCTTTTCATATAAAATGATTAAATAATGAATATATTCTTACCTGATAAATACTTTGATCAACAAGTTTCCTTAATTCTTCAGCACTAGATATAAATAGAAGAAAAATAAATAAATAATATATTGATTTATAAAATACGAACGATAATTTTGAAACAATATCATCATCTAATTGTAAATCAAGTTTTTGACGTAATTGATCAATAAGTATACGTTGTTTTTCTATTATGACTAATGTTGGTGGACATTCAAGTGAACCAGATGCAAATGCATAATGTTCTAATTCATCTAATTTTTGTTTTAATTCATTAATAAATTCTTTTTCACGACTTTTTTCTGCTTCAATTAATTGTTCATGTGTAAGATCATTTATAAATATTGATGATTGACATATTACATCAGGTATACCATTGGTAGCAAATTTCTGTAATTCAATAAGTAAATTCTATAGAAAAAAAGTATATATTATAAATTATAAAAATTTCATTATTATTTTACTTCACGATCTTCTAATGTTGGCGCTGATATGACTTGCTCTAAACGTAATTGTACATGAGCTAAATGAGAAGTTAATGCTGCAAGTGAAGAATTTAATTTTTCATGTTTTTTAATTAAAGGAATATTTTCATTGAATTCTTCATTATCACTATAAAATATTTTTAAAAAATAAAAGATTTGAAAAGAGCTAAAAACCTTGTATCATATTCTGTATGCAATGAAGTATCACCGATTGGAGTTAATCGATCATTTATTAATAATTTTTTATCATATATAGTTTGTTCAGATGGATATGATTTAGTTTCATATAACATTATTGATATTTATTAATGATTTACGTTAAAAGAACAATCATCGTTTAAAATCAAACATAATATATATATATATGCTATTAAATAGATCATATCTTATGATGTTATATTAGAAAAAAACAGAAGAATGATGAAGTAAATTATTATATTTTTTGATCGATTATTTATTTTAGATAATGAAACTTTTGATTTATTTATTTTTTATAATTTAAGAAATTCTAGATGTCACTCTATGATGGATGATGATAAATAATGTTTTTTTCTAGTATTTATATCTGTTTGATGACGAAATTGTTCAGCAACAACATAAAATTGAATACCACTTTTTATTTTTTCAGTAGATATATTAGATGTTGTTATTTCATCATTATCAAATGTTTTGTCAATTTGTTTTACTATCGGATTTACATAAAGATCAATCTAAGAATAAATTGAATTGTTAATTTTATTTAATTAAAATCAAAACTAAGTAATTGATTTATTAAATCGAACTGTCAAACGTTTCATTGAAATCTAATGTATATCAAAACAAATAAACTTATAAGACGAATTTCAGCTCATGAAGTTTCCTGTTTAAGATTATTCAGTAATAGTCGACATTAGAGATGTGCAGGGTTATCCGACTCTATCATGCAAACTAGAGCATAGTAAAGTTTAGAAAATTACTCTCCATTAGGTCACAGTCTACGGAAAAAAGCTTACCCTTGTTATTTGATCTGCTCGATGAAATTCCTAAAGACGGAATGTGACTTCAAAGCTATAATTAATTAGGGTGCAGAGTTTTCGAACGATTCGTCCGATGACTTGCTGAAGAGATGGCTTAAAAAAATATGATCGTTTTTTTCTTATATTTTTATAAACTTTCAAGATGAAATATTATGTTAAAGTCACTTATATATTTAAAGTTGTTTAAAATATACAAACATAATATTTCTCTATTATGCTAAGAAGATTCAATAGATAGGTTTTCTCTACATGTATAATAATAAAACAAAAAGAAGTTATTCAATGATTGTCTATAATTTTTTTCCGAATACTTTTATTATTATTAGATTACCTGTTTTGATAATTTTTCATTTGATCGTTGTATATGAAGAATTTCTGATGATAATTTTTTTAATGAATGTGATATATTTGTTGTAGTTTTTGAAATATGTCTTGGTAATCGTATCATTTTATCTCCTAATGGTTTTTTAGCTAATGAATATGTATCTGGTAATACGTGAATATTATCGTTCATATCATTAATTAATTTTTGACAATTTTTTGTCATTTCACCATTTTCTATAAGTTCATTAAGACATTCAATAAGATTTTTTACATGTTGAATTTCATGTGAATATGCATTATGTTTTTCAAGATATTTTAAATTTTCGATTAATTGTTCACGTTGATGAAACCATTTGATTTTTAATGTTGAATATTTTTGAGCTATATCATCAGATTGAACATCTTTAATTAATTTTATTTGATTTTTTTCATTTGATAAACTATTTTCTGATTGTCTATGAACAATAGCTTCTTGTGCACTAGTAACATTGCGAAACATGATTGATAGACATTTATTTTTCACCTCCAATTTTAGACATATTTCGATAAATAAATGACGCGCTTTTCTTCTTTAATTGATCAATGAAACTATTTCTTTTTTGTTAATATTTAATACTTAAATAAAACTTTGCTGATATTCATGAATTACAAAAATTATTGCTAAAATATTTTCATTAATAATAAAAGTTATTCGACTGTATTTTGAAGTTTGATTCTAGTCAAAAAGCTTTTAACATTGAACATAGTTTTCGGCAGTGGTGATGTAGCTCATCCTTTTATTGATCAAGACAAACTTGTCACACTTTTCAGTTTGTTTCAAGAAAGATGTATTAGATTGTGCTTACTTACTTCTTTGTTTGAGTTTTTAACGATCATTGTTGCCTATGGTCATTTATTTCAATTGTTCATGAAAGTTTTCTACGTCGAGTAAGTCCAACAAACTAAAAGTTCGAGGTAACCATATGTTTACGTGAAGTTTTATTTTAATACGATGAATCATAGCTGTAATCTGTTATTGGATAAGAACACACAACATGAAGTAAAGTATCTAATAAAATGTGTCAATACAAAATTTAATAAATACATTTGAAGAATGCAACAGAACAGCCAACGATAGCACACGTACTGTCAGAGTGGATGAGCTCACAGTTCTGACATAGATACAGGCTCTAAATGAGTACGCTTCAATCGGTATTCATTCAAAAGTCTCTTTGATAATATCAAAATGTATGATCTGCAGAACTGTGAGTACTACTATTAGTAGGGCTCTTCAAGGTGAGACCCGTTCAGGATCGAAAAAAAAAAGACTTTGTAGATCCATAGTTTTATCTCAAACATAAATAAAGAGGGCCTATTTGTAGATTATTAGTCAGAACAAAATAATAAGTATGAAAGTATGTAGTTTAATCCTTGAATAGAAAATATAACGAGACCAGTTTTAGCCAGTTTTAAGTCCCGATCCTTTCGAAATCAAAATTTGATCCCAGTTACAGTCCCAACGGGAACGGATCCGGGGCCAGTTTGCATATCCCTAACTCACACCTTTATGATACAGAAAATCATCAACGAAGCTCGATAATAAAAACTCCATATCTTGTATATTTTTTGATGAAATATTACATGGGGTGTGGATGTGGGTGGTTGTGAGGTGGGGTGTGGGTGTGGGTGGGGTGTGGGTGTGGGTGTGGGTGTGACTATGCAGTCGAGAAGACCCACACCCACACCCACACACGAATCGATTGATATTTCATATCATAAACTTATTCATTTACTAATTAACTCTTATTTAGTCAAGGAACACAATTATATTCTTCGATGTCATCGATTGAACATCATACATCGGAATGTTCTTATTGTCAACGATTATCAACCAGGAGAAGAATTATTACTTGATTTAAATTAATTATTTCATTGTCTAATTTATCTTAACCTTTGTGTTTCTGAAGTATTAGAACTACTTTTATTCAGAATCTATCCATTAAAATATTAGTTAAACCTAATTTTATATATACTCTTGCGAGAGATATCATAATGAAAAAAAATATATAAGAAACTTGCTTTCTTCCTTGATGTCTTCTTTTTGCATTGAAGAAAAATGTTGATATATCGTTTGTGAACAATAAGGCAGATTATCGGAAATAAAAACATCAATTTATATAATTCCTTACTCCAGACCACGGTATATCAGATATTCTTGCCCAGAACCCATCTGAAACATAAAAGATAAATATCATTTCTATACAGTCGTCTAATGAAAATGAATTCTCACACACTTATAAGTCGAACCACAAAGTAGGGACTTTTATTGGTAGAAAACTGAGTCTTTGTCCTCATTATTTGATATTTAATACAGATGGTTACAAAAAAACTCTATAGCCTATGTCATCTAGCATATCACAATGTGGCGGTATTTGAATTTTCTGGAAATTAGAAGTTATCATGTCTTCGTGTATTATTAACATCATATATGATTTGTATTCTAAAAAAGTTCAATGATTCTATTGTTCTATATTTATCTCTCACATAATATACTTTTTCTTTTGCTTCCTCATATTGATATACAAAAAGCATTTAAAACTTTCTTTCGAAGTAGTTGTAGAATATTAAATATTGTTTTCTTGATTATCAGCAAATATCTCCATATGATTTGTCTGAACGGTAACAAACCGAAAAAAGCATCAATATTATTGTTATTCGCTATTGATAATTCTTATCGAATATATTCATGAAAGTAAAATTTTTATTTTTATGCAAAATGTTTTTTTACACAATTGAAACAAATGTCTGCTTCAGGACAAAAATGTAACCATTCATCGTGTTCATTAAATGTAAATTCTTTTTCGCATACATCACAGTAAATTATTTCATTTTTTGTGTATACTTCTTGACATTCTTCTTTGTGATGTTCTGATATCTTCTTGAGTATTGTATAGAGAAAATGTATTTGTTTTGATTGTTGTTTTACTATTGTCTTGAGTTTGACTATTGTTGGTTGAATTTTTACTAATGGACATACTTCGGCATGATCTTGCATTTGATCAGGTTGTCCTTTCCAATCACAGTTGATATCAGCTGCTGGACATGATATAATTATTTTTGTACATGTTTTGATATGATCTTTGAAATCGCCTCGTTGAATATTACTTTGTGAACACCATTTGCATTTAACAAGAATTTTGTTGAGTTGATTGAGAAAAGGACGTGTCGTAACTGGATGAAAATCGTCGATTGTTAACGTATGACGACACGTTGGACATTGTAATGTTATACGAAAAGCATTAATAATACATCTACGACAAAATGTATGTCCACATTTATTAGCACAGACAGGTTCTTCGAATGGATCAGCACAAATAGGACAAAATAGTTCTTCATCAACGAAGTTTTCAGTCATATGCTCCCAGTCGATATTGATTGCCATTTGAGATGAGATGAATGAAAAAGAAATGCGTTTCTCCTACACTTTTATACCTATGAGTAAATTGAAAGATAGGAAAAATAAAAGGAAAAGATTGACGACGATCAATATGACTAGTCCACGATGTGCATTATATGTAGTCAGAAACGTCTTGTATACTCGATATTTTTTGCACGAATCGATGAATGGTAGATTCAAGCAAGGTTTCGAACAGCAAGTGTACGCTGCAGAAGCAAAGTGTACGCAACCCTTGCTAAATGAAAAAAACACGCTGTTTTACACACTGTTGACAAAAGCAGCGTGTACTGAGTACACTGTGTTTACCAAATTTACACTTTGTTTTTTATCGAAAAATCTGTTTGGATATAAATTCATATCAATGTCAGTGAAGAATAAAATGTACAATACGAGCTTGTTTGATGAATTTTATTGTCGATTAATCTTTCTTTTTCTTTTTTCTAATAACATTCTGTTTTCTATGCTTTTTTATAGATACATAGATAGATATAGATTGTTTGGTAATTCAATATTTTCA